CTTACTTGCAAGCAACATGATGCACATTTTATTCAATCTTTCGAACTGCGCTGAATCTATCCTCAATGGCAATATCGCCTTGTAAAATTGTGGCGATGCAGCGCCTCTTCTGACAAATGAGGATCTAGAAGTCGTGCGAGACCCTGCTCTGGTAGGTTGAGGTTGTAGTGCATTTGGCAATTCGACTATGATATCTTTCAGCTACCAAACCGTCACAAAATGCTTCACTTCCCTGATTTTGTTGGATTGACGACGGTTGGCACCCCTAACAAACTACTGAACAATTTTTGTCCAAAAACGATCAGACGTAAACGACAAATGAGAAGAAAAGTGTAGTTCAAATTGACCAATTTACCACCAGGTAAATAAGATGAGATTAATAGATGGACTCAGAACATCGTAACGATTTTCGGGGCCAGTCATAATACAGAACAGCATCAACATCAACAGACGCAATTACCAACATCAATTGAAAAAAAACTGAAAGTATTAAAGTGATCGTAATTAGAATGTGCGATACCTAATCTGACCTGTCACACTTGCGCAGTGGAACAGAGCAGGCCAAGGGTTCCTCGAGAAGGCCTTCAAGAACCGAGTTTGGCTCAGCGACATTGGGTTCATGATAAAAGAGAAGACGGTATCAGCTTTAGCAAGCTGCAACATGACGCCTGGTGCTACAGTAATTCGAGTCATTTGGCAGTTCTCAGAAAAAAAATGTAATTATTAAGTTAGCCTATTAAGCGATATGCTTTGGAAAAACGTCTGTTCATGAGGCATTTCCTTAGCATGAACGCACGTAAGAGAGACGAAGAACTTGCTGAGGAATTAATACACTTATAGTCATTTGCATTACGTGTCTGCTATCCTCATACTACCATCAGTCAAATTTATCAGCTGAAAGAAACGGTTATACACCAGAAACAACTACTGAGATGTCCTACAGTTTAAGTACCTCACAACGTCATTTCGAAGTGCAATCAAACCTTAAGCGAGCAAATATCACCTGATATTTATGTCTGCTAAGTCTATTCAAATCTGATTTTTGGATAGAGTATTAGTCAATACTAACTCGTACATACACTCGGTCGATCTTAATTTTTAGCCACGTTTACTCAGTTACTGTATGAAGCCAGGTTTATCATGTTATATGGAATACAGAGGCTAACTGGTGTCACTATGCGCACGGCGATCAGCTAGCACGGCCGTTTTACGGAAGCCAGATGGTGTTTTTTACTGTAGGAATACTGTACAACGTAAGAAGCATTCTGGTATCTTCAGGTGCGCATAGTTTTACACTGAGGAAATATGTTTGACTTGAGATATCTTGGTAAGAATTGGCTGCAGTGCATAAGCTGATTCATTCGCATCATTCCACATAAGATTATTATATATCATAATCTGCCTCTCGAAGAAGTTGAGGCACGTATTCAGGTCGACCCCGTAAACTGAGCTCCAAATCGATCGTAAAGCCTGATGCAGCGCTTTGTGGCTGCTTTGGGAACGTTAGTCTCAAGAAGCTTGGGTATGATAACCGGATTCTTCCATGAGGCGGCTAGTTACACCTCGTTGTCAAGGGTGGTGAGGGTGACTGATCCCTTCAATTAAAAGTGCAAAAAAGAAGTAAGGGCTCCTTATAACGCAGAACACGAACTGTAGCCATCGGTCTGATATCTGAGCTGTTTCAGATGCATATTGAAAAAGGATTGAAGATCATAGTGCACCAATCTAACAATTAATCAATATCAGGATAGGATCCTAGTGAACTGAAACGTGATTGGAAATTAAAGAAAACAGATTACGAAGGCTTGATAAGTGGCCAGCATTAAACAAATTTCTTCCATGTGTGAGACTTTCATACAGACGACAACAGGCTAAGCGCGATTCTAGTATAAGAGGAAAAGAGTCACATATTAATGATGAAAGAGAAAAAAATCGCTCTCAGCTGTAACTGGCAAAAAACAGAAATGTACTATGAATTTCCAAATCCTGAACAGTAGTCACCAGTACAAAGATAGTTGACTGATCCCCTTGTCACTACATGACCATCATTATCCTCACTGTGTTCATAAAATACTATTATTGATTTCCAATAATCAACATACACAATGAGAATACCACTACAGAAATGGAGCAAATGAAAATCCAATCTGAAGTCACGAAAGTCATAGATCACTTTGGTTTAGGTCATCGATTCATTGGAACTCTGCTACCATTCAGATATTGAGTTTGAATGTGTGAGAAAACCATTTTGTACAGCCGCTGCTTCTTCATATTGAGAGGTCATAGATGTGATTTTTGGGCGGGCGTCGAAACTGTCTGTTTTTCAGAAATTGGATTTAGTTATGTGGCTGGTTGGTTCTTATGAATTGCATGTTAATAATTGATACATCTTCAGAATAAAAATATCCGTACAGCAAAATGCCAGTCTTCACAATCTTGGCTTGTATTCGGTAGAACTTCAAGCATGCAGTAGGCCATTTTTGGGCATTTGTCCACATGTACTTGTACAGAAGGTACCTCTGAGGTGGAAACTGTGATGTTGCAGTTTTCGTATACTTGGACGCTTTGTTTCAGATCTAAAATAAATACACTGTAAACATGTACATCCTCACTTATATCTACATCTTCATAGTGATATCAGGCCAATAAATTTCAGATGCGATCATTTCTGATACAATCACGTGTGCAAAATTGCACTTATTTGATTCGGGGGTCAGCCGTGCTCGACCAATTTAAATACAGTGTTCAAATTTTCTCGCATTCTATATATAAAGATGCACTGTTTTTTTCACCAGAGCAGTTGAAGAAATGTCCTGCCTTTTCGAAAGTACTTACTTCAGTTCACTTCAGCGGAAACTGGAAGTCTCTACGTAGGTTATACCACAATACATACTCAAGTGTGATGCATGGCTATTTAAAACGTATTGGTCCCACCCACGAGTAGTGGAACCCTTCGTCGATCACAGCGGTCATTTATTTACGTTCGTTGTTTCAGCTGGATTGATAGGTACGTCTCGAAACGATTCTCTTCGATCCAACTTGTCGAGCTCGCACCCAGTCATGTCCTGGTGGTTTCACCGCTGCCGTTCCGCGACTGTTTATCTGTCACAGCTAACCTCTGTATTTAAGGGCTGTTGCTCTATCCGCAAGCCAGCCATGCACCGGATGGCCTGCTAGCTAATCAGGGTTATATATTGCTTTACTTTATGCATGTTTGCCAACAGATAAGAGAAAAGCTTAGTTGCGCTAGAGTATGCTGCTGCTTGGCATACGTCCTATGTACTGCAGAAGCTTAAATACCATGAAGCCGTGGCATGATTAATCGGGATAAATCCGCCGAGTGTATGATTTGGCCAAAACAGCTTTGTCAGAGCCTCGTTAGCCTCCCCTTCAAGGTTCATGACTGACCTTCACGGAAATATCGGCGACTGGGAAGTATGCACTCAACCGCGTCTATTTATTAATGTTCCGAAGCAACACATGCAGGCATCTGTTGTCTGCTAGACAACCTGGCAAAGAGTCAATAATTTTATCGGTGTTCAACTGGTCACATGTTGCAGAGAGTTTCCTTACAAGTTATCGCCAGCGTTTTTGATCTGCCGACGTCACGAAAGCACGTATTGGCTGCCTATTGGAAAGAAACAATCTGCTATGCTTTGGTATTTTGACTATCAATCAATTGACCGATTAGCTGAGTCATTGCGAACCGAAAAGCGCGTGCAAAATCCACTATCTCTTATTTGGCGTTGATCATAATCGAAGGTTTTCAACCCCGTAAATATGAATGTTTCTTAAAATAGATATTGAGTGAAGTTCCTCATTGCAGTTTCTTTCTCATTTTCAGGAAACTAAAAAATTGACTTTTTTGACATAAGCATGGTCAAAGATTATAAGGCAAACAAGGAGCACATTCAGAGAAATCTTTCAAGATGAAAGACGAACGGAAATGATGTTGAAGTGGTCAATCTTTGCAAGTAGATGCTAAGCAGTTCTGCAATTTGTTGCAAGCAACATTACACTGGTCGCAGAGGCATTGCAGAACATTGCGAAAACTTGAAAATACCGTGGATAGTTGACGTGCTTGCTCTGGTAGCAGAGCAGTTGTTAGCTGAACGTTTAGAGGTTAGTAGCAGTCACTTACCCTACCTTACTTGCAGCTTACGAAGATACACTCCAATAGACTTTGCCCCTCCTACCTTTCCAGTGAATACCTCACCCAGAGGTATAACAGGTTTAGTCGAGGTATTTTGATTTGTCACATATGTTAAAATGGAAAACGAAAGTGTGTGGCCATTGTGATATCAGTCGCTCCTACACTTTCGTGATTAATTGCCATTTGTAGTAGCTTTCGTTTCATGAGGCTCAAGGTGCGACACTGGTATCCGTTTCCATGCCGTCAGCCAGGAGTATTTTGCTTTTTAAAGATTGATTCTACCGCCACTTTGTGTAGAACTCTGTTTTCTACCGATCGAGTGATACTCAGTTCTGTACCTCGGGAGAAAGAAAGCCGAGTGAATCAATCAATTGAATTTCGAACCTGGTACCTCTCGGTTGTGAGTCCAATTTTCTTTTGAATGACCAACCTCGATCACATCCGTGATTTAACCATTCGTCAGGAACCATACGACTATAATCTAAGTTCTGTCACAAGCTTTGAGGTTTCAAGGATAAATTCGATGAATATCTGTTTGTGGCTTGATTTACTGTCCTCAGTAGTATTGGTGATTGATCGGAGGCATCGGTTGGAGTAAAGGATAACAGCCAAGACAGTGTAAGACGAAGTTCCTTTACCTAAACGTGAAAAACTGTGGTTCTGAAATCTCATATCAAAGCAGTCACCAGGTGGGTCAAGGAGAAATGCAGTTCTGTGGGGCGATCGCATCATGCAGCATCGCCGTGCATCCTGTCCGTTGCGATGTGACCA